GTCTGCTAATCATGATTCATGACAAGTTACCCACAGAAACTGAACAAAAAATACTCAAAATTAAGAGTTTGAATCTTAATTTGGAGGTAGAAGTATTTCTCTTGTTTGCATTGTAAGAATTTATACAGTGAAATGAGGTTTGTAAATTGTTTGGTTCTTAAGCAAAATCTTTATGAAAATATGATTTTATCTAAGCATTAATTCTGACTTGTGTAGTCATAATTATTCTATTTCAAAACCAGACACTAAACGGTCGAGTTCGGGGATCCTGAGGCGGGGCGCGCGAGCCGAGACCTCCGGGAACTCCAAACGAACACAAACATGGATAATCACCGAGTGTTCAAACGGTGACGTCCAAGTCTTGAGGACGGTCAAAAATGGGGTGTCTACATGTACTCATAATTATTCTATTTCATACATTTGATTTAGAAATTTGTTATTCAAGCACACCATAGTCAATAGGTGATGAATGTTATATTCCGATTTATATCAAAATTGTGGGGGTGTATTGATATTTTTGTATGGTAATATCTTAATAAGAAAATTAATTTTTCTTAGAATACTTAAAATGTGGGGGGTGCTTGGAGGACTTTACCAAAGTAACAGTTCCGATAGTAGGTCCACAAAGAATCTCAATTCTTTCTACAGGACAAAGTTGGAGTAGAAGCAAAAATGGTTTTATTAACTCCAAAGGAATACCTCTATGTTTGTTACTTAAATTTGAAAATGGGAGTGACATAAAGTAATGGTAAGTCTTGATGTAATCAAAGACTTAATACCGTAGGACATTTGCTTTCAGTTGTGAATATTGTCTAAGGATAATGTAGTGGATCCACGAACTACTCAATGATATATAACTGAGAAGGTCCAACGAAAAAATAGCGGTCGCTAAACAAAAGGTTTGACCAGAGAGCAAATGACGGAAAGCTCATCGAGGGGAATGTGATTAAAGCCTATTACATAATAGTCATCATAATGGTAACCCTACTTAAATGACTGGAGATCCCAAGAACTAAGTTCAAAGGGACAACTAAGTTATGTGTGGCTTACCAGAAATCAGTAAGGGAGTCTATCTCCTATCCATTCCTATGATGAGAGTGATATCTGTAACATGTGTTGTATGTAGGGGACTTAGGGTAAGCTATTCTTTTAATGATCACTTATATCTTGAAAAACCTAGAGGGATATCTTTCAAGAGGAGTATTTAATAGACTCGAAATAAAGATCACCTATATAGGCGTAAAGGGGACGCTTCTATGAGAATTAATAAGGCTAAATTCTCTAAAGCCCTCATGAAATACCAGGACATGCCCAAGGCCAAAACGGGCACAGCCATGAGAACTAAGCTGTCTGAAGGTATTCTGTGTGAATTCTATTGTCTTGGCTTACACAAATGGTTGAATAGTTCAAGGCATCACGTCCACTAATTAGCTAGTAAGTCTAATAGTCTTTCACTAAGGAAGGTTCAAAGCCAAAAGCTACCTATCCCCATTCAGAATATTTCCAATTGAGATCTCTTTGAGTCTGCATTGTGTCTTGCATACTTTTTCGCCATTTCATTCATGTGGGGGATTGTTGGAAAAATGGTTTGGAAACCATTAATAGTTGAATGAGAAATTGACTCAAAAATGCACCATTTGAGAATGGTTTTAAGACAATATTTATTTAATGTAAAATTTGATTTTATTTAAATAAATTCGTTAATTTTTTGGGTTAAATTTGAACATGATTTGATTCACAATTTGAATTCTTTTGAAAGAACAATCATGTCTTTTCTGGTTGCATATTTTCATGGAAAAGAGGTGACTCTTTTGAAAAGTCACCATGACCATTCGAAGAGGCACCAATTCATCTATATAAATAGACCCGCATTGCATTCATTTTTAAAATGGAAATTCATCTTGTATTTCTTTTCTTCTGCACTCTGTCTTTTCTGTAAGAAAATTCTGCACAGTAAGGTTTGCCAGACTTGCAATGGTAGTGCTGCTTTTGCGAGGTTCGATCGTTGTATCTTGGGAGATGAACGTCCAATAAAAACTCGTGAGCACCGTAGCGAGGGATGAATTTGTCTTAAGAAAATTGTGTCCAACACAAGCCTCGATCAAATTGTTTTTCGTTTCTAGATTTTTTCAATCTGTTTGTAAGTTATCTACTTTTCTGTAAGTATTTTTGGTTCTCGGTATATAGTTTGGTTTGGTTTAACCTAAACAATTTACGTTATATTCAACTTATATATTTTTTTATATAATTTGGTAATATATTTGGTGCAATTATTGCGTGTTACAACTGTACACACAAGATTTTTCCAACATCAACTCAATTCCTCCAATTCAAGGTGATTCATGCCTCTATTGTCTAATTTCATGCAACTAAATTAAAAAACTAGATGAATTCAACTTCTATATGTTTTATCTACAAGGATTAAGGGAGAATTTCATACCTAGTGAGTGAATTCAAGTGTATCTTCGCTTAATTCTCCAAGTCTCCTTCCAATCTCCTACAATTCTTCTTGCTCTCTCTCTCTCTCTAAGTCAAGTTTTCTGCCTCTCTAAAGCTCTCTTGGCAGATTTTTTAGCTCAAAATAAGCTTAAGCGCTTGAATTAACACATATATATATATATGTGTGTGTGTGGGTGTGTGTGTACACTTAACTAATTTTGTTGGCTAATCAAAGCTTGGGCTTAATCAAATCGAATTAATCTAATTATTTTGATCTGAATTAGTTTTTAATTAAATTTTACCGTAGGCTCTAAAAATTATACTAATCACAATGGTATAATCAATTTTGGTTTTTGTCGCCTCTACAACCTTTAATTTCAATTTATTACAGTATATAGAACAAATTTTTCTACGGTGGACAGATATGAATTCAAAACTACACATAATCACATAATTAGCATCCAAAGTCACATCAAGCACATATTCACAAGTATAATTAATGATTAATAGTATAACACAGAACGGGGTTATCACAGGTTAGTTGTCGCCTTGTGTGTAATTTTCCTATTGAGATGAATTTTCTTTGGCATCACAATTTTCTCTAAACACATTGGATTGACTTTACTCTATGTGCCTTGCTTGATTTTCTATGGCTAGTTGTCTCTTTGATTTTCTCTCCAATTTTCTTTGGCATTTTAATTTTCCATGACCACATTAAACTCTCACTAATTTGAGTTGTTTGTTTGATTTTCACTGGTTAGTTATTCATTGAGCTGAATTTTCTCTGGCATTTGAATTTTCCCTGAAAACATTAAACTCTCACTAATTTAAGTTACTTGTTTGATTTTCACTGATTAATTGTCTCATTGTGTGTAATTTTTCCTTTGAGATGAATTTTCTCTGGCACTAAGATATCTTCTTTAGCATAATTTTCTCTGAACATATTGGACTTTATTTCTCTCTGTGCCTTGCTTGATTTTCTCTGGCTAGTTGTCACTTTGATTTTCTCTCAAATTTTCTCTGGTATTTGAATTTTCCCTACCCACATTAAGCTCCCACTAATTTATGTTGCTTGTTTGATTTTCACTAGATTTCTAACTTTGAATTTTATTTTTGATCTTTTGGGATGTGTAGTGTTTGCTATTTTTTAAACTATAATTAGATTTTGTATTTTAAGTTCTTTGATGAACTTAGCATGGTGTTTCTTGTAAAAATTATAGAAAATTTGGTTTGTGAGTAGCTCAATTTTCTCTGTAATTTTTTTTTGGTTTGTTCAAAGCATAAAGAAAATTATGAACAAATCAGACAAAATTGGTCAAAACACAGAGAAATTTGTGAGCAAACCAGAGAATTTTCAAAAAAATTTCTCTATGTTTCGAAATTTCTCTGGTTCAAAATTTCTCTAGATCGAAATTTAAGGGACCCCAACTACTAAGAAAATATTTCATTTCCTTTATGCTATAAAATCTTAATATGAGGGACCTTAAAAAAATTCCCTTTAAAAATATATATAATGAGTTTTATAAATTTGATATAATTACATTGAGCTTTTTTAAGTCTTTATTAACCTATTTTTATTATAAATTTGTAAGTCATATGAATGAAAAAATAATGTTATAGATTATCATTTTTTTTTTTACATTGAAATGTAAGACTATAATTTACCTTATCCATCTTGGGTAAATTAGCATGTCATAATAGCTAGACTTAATGCTCATTAAGTCCTATTAATTCAGCGCTGGAAGTTAATTGGGCGAATTACACTAACAATCCTTATAGTTTGGGGATTATGTCACTTTGGTCCCTGACTTTTCAATTGTGACACATTTGACTTTGAATTTTGAATTGTGCAAATGGCTTTCTTGGGTGGCAGGAATATCTTTGATGGCGTAATGATTGCTAATGAGGTAGTTGATTGGTGGAAAAAGTCAAAAAGGCAGGGGGTCATACTAAAGTTGGATTTTGAAAAAGCTTACGATTCAGTCAATTGGGAGTATATGTTTTCCATGATGGCTAATCTTGGGTTTGGAGATAAATGGATTGGTTAGATGAAAACCTGTGTAACCACTGCAAGAGTATCTGTTTTAGTTAATGGCTCTCCAACTAATAAATTCAATCCACAGAAAGGGTTGCGGCAGGGTGACCCTTTGTCACCCTTTCTGTTTAACATTGCAACAGAAGGGTTAAATATTTTGCTGGAAAGGGCAAAAAGTCAGGGTTTATTTAAGGAAGCTACTGTTGGGTTTGTAGAATTGAAGCTGTCTCATCTCCAGTTTGCAAATGACACTATCCTATTTTGTGAAGCTGAGTGGGAGGAGATTATCAATGTTAAAAGAATTCTGAGATGTTTTGAGGTAATGTCAGGGCTGAAGATCAATTTTCATAAAAGTGTGGTGTGTGGACTTGGGGTTAGTGATATGATGGTTCATGATTTTGCTTCAACCCTGCATTATTTAAGTCAGAAGTTATCTCTAAAGTACCTAGGCTTGCCATTGGGTGTGAATCTGTGAAAGAAAAAGACTTGGCAACCTGTGGTGGATAAGGTTAAGTCAAGGTTAGCTATGTGGAAAAGGAAGCTCTTGTCCTTTGCTGGAAGGCTAACTTTGGTGAAATCAGTTTTGGATAGTATTTCAGGTAACTATATTTCTTTATTCAAATTACCCATTGGTATTGCTAAAGAAATTGATAAGTTGAAGTCTGCTTTCCTATAGGGCAGTTCAGAGTTGAGAATGAAGATCCATATGGTGAAATAGAAGGATGTATCAATGAACAAAGACCAAGGAGGGTTAGGCATTAAGAAGGCAATGGATACTAATGCTTGTATGTTATTAAAGTGGTCGTGGAGGTATGGGGTGGAGGATCATTCACTGTGGAAAAAGGTTATTATCAGTAAGTATGGGTCTGCAGGTCGCAGATGGCTACCACTGAAGGATGGAGATGGTAAGGAATCTATTTTGTGGAGTGATGTTCTGAGTGTGGAAAGATCCAATCCAGAGCTGTTTTAGTTCTTTGTGTCACAGTGCAAGATTGTGGTTGGGAATGGGTGTAGGATTCAGTTTTGGCGTGATAGATGGTTTAGGGATTTACAGTTGAAAGAGGAGTTTCCCAGACTGTTTAGGCTCTCTATGGATAAAGATGAACTATTGTGTTCATTTATGTAGAGGAGGGACAGTGAGGGTGATTGGAGGCTTCAATTCAGAAGGTCATTATTTGCTTGGGAGGAAGAGAAGGTGAGGAAGTTGCAGTTGTTGATAAGGGATGTTCCTAGGCTGAATGTGGATCTGCAAGATGTAGTGAGGTGGACTCCATCCTCTTCAGGTGAGTTTACAGTGCTATCTGTCAGGAAATGGCTACTATTAAGGTCTGGACCTAGGTTACCTGTTCCTAGGATGATTTGGATTAATGCAGCACCACCCAAAGCACAATTTATAAGTTGGTTGGCTTGGAGAGGTAGGATCAAAACAACTGTTGTTCTGCAAAAATTTGGAGTGTTAGGTCATACTGTTGTAACTGATTGCACTTTTTGTTTAGCTACTATGGAATCTGTGGATCATCTCTTTGTGCAGTGTTTTAAGATTTGGAAGGTTTGGGGTTGTCTATTACAGTGGTGGAATCTCTGTTGGGTTTCCCCTACTACTACGGATGAAGTGTTGTCTTGGTGGTTGGGATCTAAGCACAAAAAATCTGTTAAAAAAATTTGGCTGCTAGTACCAGTAGCAATGTTGTGGTCCACTTGGAGGCTAAGAAATGAGGTTGTGTTTAATGGCAAGCAACCCAATATGAATGAGCTGTGTGAGGTTGTGAAAGTGACAGTTGGGCTGTGGGTTAAGTCGTCTATGCCTTCTGTCCAATACTCTGTGCATCAGATTGTGGAAAATCTGAGTCAAGTGAGGTTCTGTATTTGAGATGGCCAAGTTTTAGTGGCTGATCGTCCTAGGAGTTGATTGTGGGTGGGCTACTTGTGTTGCTTGTTTGTTTTGTTCTCTTTTTTGGTTGGATTCTCACCAGCCTGGGGTGGTGCTGTCAGATGATTGGGTTTACTTCTGGGTGCCAACCTTGTTGGGATTTAGAGTGTAAACTATAATGATGTTTGCACTTTTCTTTCCCTTTATTGATGTTATGCTCATGTTTTTTGTATTGTTTGTTTCATCAATAAAGGTTTACTTTTGATTGATCCAAAAAAAAAAAGAACAATAGAAGATACCAGTGCTTAATTTCAAAGGCAAAATTGTCAATTTAATAAAATATAAACTAATTTGATAAACATAAATGTCAAAAAAATATTTTTGATTTTTTAAAAATTATTTCTACCTACCAAAGACAAAATTATGTAAAATTGATAAATCTTTTAGATATTTATTTATTTATTTTTTTACCAAATTAATTTTTATTATGTGTTTGGATGATGATCATATAATGGGTGATTGTTAGAATTTTAATGTGTAATTGGTATATGAAATGTTTTTAGTTTTGCATTTTTTGATTTAATGGATTTGTTTAATAATAATAACAAAGCCATATTTGACTTATGAAAGAATAGAAACTACTTTAATAAAAATAAAAACAACCACCTGTTAAATGATCATCATCTAAACACATAATAAAAGTTAATTTGGGAAAAAAATAAAATAAATAAATGTCTAAAATATTTATTAATTTTATATAATTTTATCTTTAGTGGGTAGAAATAATTTTAAAAAATTCAAAAATATTTTTTTGATATTTATTTTTCAAATTAGTTTATATTTTATTAAATTAACAATTTTTCTCTTAAAATTAAGCAATGGTATCCTCAATTGTCCTTATTTGGATCAAGATTCAAAATTTAGGGTCAAATGTGTCACAATTGAAAAGTCAGGGACTAAAGTGACACAACCCCCAAACTTTAGGGACCGTTAGCATAATTTGCCCTAGTTAATTTTATCAGAATTGTCACAAAAAAATATTGTGATGATTTTCTGAATCTATTGTTAAAAATTGACAATTATTTATGTTAATCTGTGATTTTTTTTTCTAAATTGTTACTAAAACTTACAATTAGTAACTTTTTATGTAACGAATTTTTCAAACTGCCATTGAAAATTAATAATTAGTAATATTTTTGTCATTGTTTGATAAAAAAAATGCCGCTAATTATCACATAACCTATTAGGCTTACATGTAAATTCCCCTTTATCTTCTTGATTTTACTTAATATGCATTAGTGTTGGTCCATGTACACTTAGTAAAAGAGATGCTGGTGTAATTATGCAAAATTTGCTTTAGCCTTTTTTTTAGTGAATTTTTTTATATATATAATTTTTTTCAAAAAGGTTTTACACTTTTAAGTTCTAGTTGACTAGAGAGGCTAGAAAATAGATTATTTTTTTAAAAAAAAAAAAAAATTAGAAAGTATGTAAAAAAGTCCACTAATTTTTATTTTTTTTTTTTTTTGTCTTTAGCGATTTTTTTTTATACTATTTAAGTCCTTTTACACTAGATGGACCTAAAAAAATTGACACAAATTTAAAAATAAAAAAAAACTATAAGCAAAAAAAAATTAAAAAATATAAAAAAAAAAAGATTGGAACCATGACTTTTGATGTAAGAGGTAGGAAGACCACGTATCCCGTAAGTCCATCTAATGAGATCTAACAGCAAATTAGAGTTTTCGGCACTAAATTTTTGTTTTTAAAAGGGAAAAATTTGTTATAAAAAATATTTAGAGATCAATTTTTGCCATCAAGAGGATAGTTGTTAAAAGGTTATTCTAAAAAAAAAAATGCTTTTAGCAACAATTTTCAAAATGTCACTAATAAGTGCATTTTTAGGGACAATCGGTCCCTAAAAGATTTGTTTTTGAGACAAAATTTTTTGTCCTAAAATGATAATAATTCTTTGCTAAATATCCATTTTTTTGCTAAAATTAGAATAATACACTTTTGGCAACAAAAATATTTGGTCTATAAAAAGTGATTTTGTCCCTAAATTTATCCCTAAAACCTTAATTAGTTGTTATTTCTCCATTATTTTTGTTGTGTTTAAATATGTTTTTTTAGATAATTTTTCTAGATATATAATAGGGCAAATTATGATGGTAGTCTCTACTTTATCCGGCATGTCATTTTAGCCCATGTACTTTTCATTGGCTTAATTTTGATCCTGAATTTGTAATTTTATCTCATTTAGTCCAATTAATTACAACTCTTAACATTTTTTTTTTGAAAATATGCATATAAGTGTCACGTGCCATATTTTTAAGGGCAAAATTATAAACTTATTCAATTCAGTTAGTTAACTTCAACTAATTTAGTGATAATTTTTCTTAAAAAACATTAATGATGTTATTAATTGGACCATATTAAAACAAAATCTAAAATTAAATGTCAAAACTAAGCCAATTGAAAATATATGAACTAAAATCAGAGAAGTGATAAAATATAAGAGCTGTCCAATACAATATTATTAATAAATTTGTTTTTTGTTTTTTTTTTTTTTTGCCCTCGGTTCAAAATTTGTCTCCTTAACCCAACAACACCGCCATTAACAAATTCTTCCACCACAAAACAAACAACACACACTTGGGAGAGTAGAGTAGTTAGGATTTTGTTTCAGAGTATCAAATATCAGCCATTATTAAGATGGCACTTTTCCAAGGAATTCTGTTGGTCATAATCCTATTATTAGTACCAATGGCAGCAGCCACAGTAGTAGGACTCGGAGGAGCAGAGGAACAACGTGATGAGTGCATCATGCCAACAAGTTGCAGAAAACCGGAATGTGGGAATTGTGAAGCACAAGGTAAGTATTGTAGATTCAAGAATAACAACAGCAGTGGCAGCAACAGTAAATTATTATTAAATGGAACAACTGAATGCTTAGACAAGCCCAAACAACCATCTATGGGTACGCTTCTACCCTAGCTAGTTTCTACCCTTTTACTTCCAAGTTACGATTATTATATTTTGTTTACCATCTTGTTTAATGTGTAATTATTGCGTTCACTTTACAATGATGTCATCTTCCACCACAATTTTGAATTGAAATTTGGACCGAACTTCTTCTCTCCAATTCAGACAATTGAACTGGCCATCCAATCGAAGTTTCAGATGTGTGCAACGTCGGTATTTTCCCGAATAAATGGCTTAGATTTTGTTTACCTATTTACAACACAATAGTATACCCAAATAAAAAAATTCAACCTAACGTCTTTGGGCTACAAGATCATTTTAGCTTCAATGCCCTTGTTTTATTTTGTTCTGATCATTACTTAGCCTTGTTGATTGTGCGACGATGATAAGTCTTGCCATATAGATTAGGTTGTGCGCTTTTTGTTAGACGTTGTAAACCTGATGGAGGATGTGTTGAGAACCTGATTAGGCCTTTGTTATTTACGGATTTACTGGTTTTTATTTATTTATTTATTTATTTGTTTGTTTGTTTATTTTTTGAGGAGGTTTAACCCTATTTGGATATCTGATTCTATCTTGTCAGTTTCTTTTCCTTAGCACTGAAAAATACATTTATTATGAATCTATGGTAAAATTTTTAATTATATATGTGTGTGTGTATGTATTTCAAAGGAGACAGTTTAAGCAGTTTTTAAACTTTTACAGGTGTATTGAGGAAACTAGAGATTGCAAGTGGAGTCCTAGGTCTGACTCTTCTTGTTATAGTTGTCATTACAATATATCTTGTCAATAGATCAAACAAAATGAAAAAACAGGATCAAGTAAAGATTGACAAATTTTTAGAGGATTACAAAGCTCTTAAGCCTGCAAGATATTCCTATGCAGATATCAAGAAAATAACAAATCAATTTCAAGACAAAGTAGGCCAAGGAGGTTATAGAATAGTGTACAAGGGCAAGCTTTCCAATGATGTTCATGTCATGGTCAAGATCCTCAACAATGTGAAAGGAAATGGGGATGAGTTCATTTATGAAGTGCAAACAATGGGTAGAATCCACCATATCAACGTGGTTCGCTTGGTGGAATATTGTGTTGACGGATTGAGAAGAGCTCTTCTTTATGAGTTCTTACCAAACAATTCGCTTGAAAAGTTTATATCCACTGATAAAGAGAAGAATTCACATGGTTTGGAGAAGTTGCATGACATTGCTCTTGGCATATCTAAAGAAATTGAATATCTGCACCTAGGGTGTGATCAACGAATCCTGCACTTCGATATTAAGCCTCACAATATCTTGTTAGATAATAAGTTTATCCCGAAGATCTTTGATTTTGGTCTAGCAAAATTGTGCTCAAAGGAATAAATTGTTCTTTCCATGACTACTGCTAGAGGGATTGTGGGTTACATTGCACCCAAAGTGTTCTCCAAAAACTTTGGGAACGTATCGTACAAATTAGATGTTTATAGCTTTGGGATGTTGTTGCTAGCTATGGTTGGAGGGAGGCAAAATACGGTAACACAAAACAACAACGAGTGTTACTTTCCAAAATGGATATATAAACGTTTGATCAAGGAGAAGATCTAGGAATACAAATTGAGGAAGACGAGGATGTGAAAATTATAAGCAAACTAACAACTGTGGGGCTTTGGTGCATACAATGGTTACCCAGTGGGCCAACCATTGATGAAAGTTGTGGTGCAAATGTTGGAAGGAGATGGAGACACTCTAACAGTTCCCCACAGTCCATTTTCTTTCACAAATCCAATGTCAATGAGGGGAACAATAGGTGGTAGAACTTTTAATAGCGACTTAGAAATAATTTCTGAATTTGAATGAAATAATTAATTAGCGATATTTTTTGACTATGTAATAGGATTAATCTCATTATTCTTATCAATGAGTATAGAATTAATTGTTTATCAATGTATTACTATAGCCTTTCAATACTACATCTTATGGCTTTTGTATTAATAGTCCTCTTGTAATGGTGTGCTCTATATCACAAGGAGATTCTTATTGAAATATTTTTTTACTCAAAAGTTTGACAAAACAAGTACTCATCATCATTGTCTACTCTCAAGTCGATTTGGTTTTGACGTAGTACATTTTATGGATTTGTGAAAAAATTTATTCAGGATTGTTTTGAAGTTTGACTTTTTAATTTTTTACGAAAAGACTTGTAAAAATTTAGGAAAAAGTGTTGACTTTTTTATAATAACTTTTTGACTAAAGTGTGACTTCTCAAAATAGGTCTTAGTGAACTTAGACTTGTTTTGAACTTTCTAGAGCTTTTTTTTAGGTGTTTCCTTATTAGTTTTAGATTGAATTGTAATAAAATCAACTTTGTCTTGAATTAGCTTTAAGGACTCTTCAGCTAAAAGAGAAATATGCAGTCTGTAACTCCTTTGATTGAATTTCATAGTTTCTTGGGGTTTGTTTTTGAAGAGAGGCCATTGGCTTCTTCAATTTATTTATTTTTTGGAATTTTTTCTTTGTTTGATGATCTTTCATGTTTTGTAAATTTTTGCTTGGTAGCCTACTATAGATCTTAGTGAACTTTTGGCATCCTTGATGACCTCTTGTAGTTCTTGCTTTGGTGATCTTTTATAGATTCTTTGAGGCTTTTTACAGGTCCTAAATCATAAGACTTATTTCTAGTTGTTAGTTAATTAGAGAATTTAAGTTTTGTTCTTGTCTCTATTTCTCTTTGTTTTTAGAATCTTTAGTTGTTTTTGTTAGATCTTTGGTATATTCCTATGAGACTTGTTATTTGGTGCCTCACTGTACGGGAAAGAAATAAATCTTCTCGTATAATCCTGTTGATCAAGATTGCACTCCTTCGTACGTTGTCGCTTCACCCCCTGAAAACACAAACGTGAGCTAGCCGGCGGGTGTGTGCCGGATACCTCTCTGATGCCTAAGTCAGTTCAATAGACAATGAGACAAAAAGTTCTGTGTATTCGGGAATCAAAGTTCTGTTACCTCTCTAGAGGTGATGTTTGTGAGCTTTTGTAGGTTCCGTGTGGCACAATCCAAGTAGGACTCTTACTCCTCCATGTAGAGTCCTTCTAGGATCCATACTCCTGATAGATAATACTTTATCCTTCAACACCCCCCTCACTGCTTAAACCAAGTGAGATGGTTTTACCATGGTCGAACTCCAATGTGGCCGAGGTAAGCATGGCTATGCTTAGCTGCAGAATAGACCGAACTGTCCTTAGTTCGGTTCATCTTTCCACTGCCCTTACCTCAGTTCCTCCTCCACAAACCGTGGTAAGCCTAAACCGAGCTAACTATTGGCAAGGTTTAGACCGAGCTAATTACACTATGTCGTGACCGGTATAAGTTGTAGTATGGTGACTGAGCTAACCATAAGCCCTTTGGGACCGGAGTAACTTTAAGACTCTTCCAAACCGGAGTAACTTTATGGCCATTTTACTCAGCCCTTTGCACTGTGGCCCATAATGGCCCATTACCCAGCTCGGCCCAATTGTCATATAAATTACCCTCTCAATTGCCCCTTAATTCCATCTGCGCCGCATGATAGGGATTACCTGTCCTCCAGCCGAGCTAAAGTTTCTAAGCCTTTCCAGCCGAGCTAAAACCCTTTAGCCTTTCCAGCCGAGCTACTTTCACACCGGGCTCTGCTTGTCAGGTCAAAACGTCTCTTCAATCACAGAAACTGAATCGCTTCTCCTTCCCAGGACACATGGCATACTTTGATTGGCCAATCATAGCTGTCACGCCGTCTTCGTGTGTCGTGAATTTTGAACAGTTCCCGCCTCTCTGTCTGTCCTTCTACACAAAACAAACTCTTTCATTTTGAATCTCAAATTACACTATTCATCCTCTCTCTGCACCTCTGCTTCTTCCAACCCCTGAGCTCCCTGAGTTTGTGTTCTTCACTGCTGCTGTTGTTCCTAACTCCCGTTCTTGCCTCTTCATCTGGTAAGCATTACAAATCTGTTCTACTTTTCTTGTTTTCGTACCTATCTTGATCCATAGCATACTGTTTTTGTGTTTTTTGCAAAACACTTTTTCTGCTTAGCTTCGTGTTTTTCTGGAAAAAACTTCTTAAGAACCACTTGTATTCACGAAACAACCTGTAGAATGTAGTATTTGATCCAAAATCACAGTATAACCGAACTAAAAAGTTGTTTGTAGTTGATGTCACTCTATCAAACTACTTAACCGATCTAGCACTTCATGTTTATACCAGTAGTTTCAATAAGTCAAACCATCTTTTGATTTGTCCTAGCCGAAATAACAAACCGAACTAAGTCTACAATCAGTGTACTGGGAAAACCTCAACTCCGACCGAGCTATGTCGCGGGGCTAAACCAGCATTCTTAGTTTTAGACCGAACTAAGAAAGCTGCCCCTAGAAGCTCAAACCGGTCTAACAAAACCCGTAGTATGCCACACAGCCGAACTAAGACTTGATATATGTTGCCTTTATTTCTCTTTATCATGGTCCAACGGTCTGTGCTTAACACTTTTGTTTTTTCACTTTGCAGACTTAGGTTGCCCAGGCACCCCTTTGAGCGCTCAACCGAGCTACACAGCACAAATCTTTGACCGATCTAATACTTGGCTTTAATTTATTTATAACTTAAAACATAAATGGGGAAGTATAGATTCTTAGTAGAGACACCTGGTGGTTTGGTCGAATTCCAAAGGGAGTACAACATCCCTGACGATGTCTACCTCACCTTAGCCAAGCAAGATATTACTCCATAGGGGAACCGAGGTTTTGTACCCTTCACCCTTCTGTCCATAATAGAAACCGGACTAAGATTCCCTGTTCAACCCTTGCTCTATGAATTCCTTAGGCAAACCAGAATATGCCCAACCCAGCTTTCCACAAACTCATACCGTATAATAAATGGTATAGCCGAACTAAACCGCCGAGCTGGCATTAACCTCGGCCTAGCCGAGATCTTCCATCAGTACTCCATAGGCTCAAAAGAAGATGGCTGGGTCTATTACCTAAGAATACGCCGCCGCCGGGAAAAAATAATAAAAGACACACCGGACAAAGACTTGAATGATGACGACTTTTTTTGGGTATCTGGGAATTATGAAGATCACTAGGCCCAGATCCCTGGCCGTAGTATAAATTGGAAAAAAGAAACCCCTGGTATACTTACTTCGGTTTCTCTGACTGCTTCTCTTTTATTTTGGTTTCCTATTTCTGAACTGAACTAATCAGTTGTCATCTTTATGCAAATTCAGCCCACCTTAAGTCATTATACAGTTATCCCAACCTAGGCACACTTCGCGCCGCACTACGATACCCTGAAAGAAGTTGGGCCAAGCTTCTGAATTTTGAGCCGACATACCGATATACCAGCCGACGCAAAGCCAGAGTAACCGACTTTTTGCTAGAGGACGCCCCTGAACCGGATCCAACCTTGCCACAAATTAACCTCGTCCGCACTACTAAAGAAGAAGAAATGGCGAAGAGGAGTAGAGTAAGGGCCCTCTTAACCAAAACAAACCGAGCCGAGGTACCACCACCAATCCAAACCCAAGAAACAGTGGTCGCCCTTCCAACTCAACAACCCTCTTTATCACGCCCGAGCAAGCGCGCCCGGACTACCGCAACCGAACAACGACTCGTTGATGAAGACGAAACCATGGTTCCTCAAACCATTGTCTCAAGCCCTCCACCAAGTCCACAGCCGGAGCGTTCTGACCGGGCTGGTTCTTCCAAGTGGGTTCCTAAGCTCACTTTCCGGAACCGAGCCATTGAGGACACTGATTCGATGGTCTCTGAGGAGGACCACTTAATGGCATTCAACCTGTCCAAGAGTGTCTGCCTTCCAGCCGATATGGCGCACCATGACGACCTCACTGAGCTGCGTGCTATTCGTTCGGCTACAAAATCCATGGTTTTGGTAAGTTCTGTTCCCTATCCACAAATTTCAACTCTTTCAGTTCGGTTTATCTGAAGACTGTACCACTCCTTTCGCAGGCCCTGCAAAAGAACCATGTCGCACACAAGCGTGTGCTGGAACTTCGCAGGTCCACTAAGGAGGCCATGGCAGAGGCCAAAGCAAAAACGGCCTTGCTAAACGAATCCAAGCGGCAGATGACTGAGCTAGAAGCCGAAGTAACCAGGCTAACTGGCCTAGTTAATTCGGCCGAAGCGAAGAACCAGAAGGCTGCGGCCAAGCTGAAAGATAAGTATTTGCGCCAGCTTGCAAAGCTTGAGAAGAAGAAGGACACCGAAATCGCCAAGCTGAAGGAAAGTGGGCAGGATGCCGAACTTCGGGGTTTTAAGGAGGGTGAAGCCCTCTACAAGCAACAATGTGAGGCCGCTAAAGATTTGTTCTTCAAATGCGATTGGAGGGCAGCTGTGGTGCAGCTCGGTTAACAGCCAGAGACCGAGGTTTACAATCCTCCACCCTATTTCATAACGGATTCAATGGATGAGTATGCTGTGACCGTTCAACAACAATTTCTTGAAGACTCAGATGATGAAAAAGAGACCGCGCCCAAAGATGCCCCTGTGCAGACAGTTCGGTTGGAGCCAGCTGTAGAAGACCTGACTGAAGAGTTGCTGACTAAAACCGAGCGTCCAACAGAGGCCATACTTCCGACTGAAATCGAGCTTCCGTCTGAAACTGGGCTTCGGGTTGATGTTG